ATAAAAGTGAGAATCCAGGGGGAATTCTTTGCCTCCCCCCTCCTCACCCAGCAGCTCTGCTCCAGAGCATTATGTCATTGGAGTCAAAAAGGCACAGTCGAAGAAAAATAGCCTGTTTCACACATGATAGACACCTTAACGCATGGTGGTAATGGAGCGGAGAGTGAGGTTACTGTTTTTAACTGTAGTAAGACAGGCAGGAGGAGGTAAGGAAAAAAAACATGGGTTTGAATACAGAAACTAAAAAACATTTTTATTTGATGCATTTTAATAAATTTAGATCCCTGTTAAAGTATAACATGGAAATTTGACATCAATTATCTGACTTAACTGACTGATTCATTAATAAATAAAAACATGTTTCAATAAAATAACTTATTTGTTCATATATTTATTTATGGATGTATTATTTATATCAACATTAATTTATTTATTACATTAACTTTAATCATTAATTAAGAAATATATTACATGAATATCTATGAACCTTTGTCATGTTTTTTCTCACACTCTTCCATGTTAATGTCTGCAAGCGCAGTGCTGAAAAAAACAGTGCCCCCTTCTGACCGCCTGTTTCTCTGCTTGCTGAAAGTCTGAAACTCAACCTCAGGTTTTGCTGTAGTTGTCGGTGTAGAGACCGTTTCATTGTGTCTGTGGCTTATCAGCCTCTTGTGTCGGGGTCAGCCGCTGGGTTTACAGAGTAGCAGGACCCCGGGAATAACTCTGACCGTCTTGATCCTCACTGTCAGCACGTTGGCTTTAGTGTGAGCTCGTTTCATCAAGGCTACCACAGATGAACCACTGCTGGGCTGCTTTCCTCAGAAAGCCTGTTTCACCTACAGGAACAGTCTGTGTGTAGTGTTCTACTGTGGACAATCCTGATACGTGTTTTGTCTCGAATTAGTCATGACGCTCTTTAAAGTTCAGCAGTGAACGTTATGCATATACAGTTAACATTAATGCTTTAATTGTCATGCAGAGTCGGGCTCCGTGCTGAGATGTCATGGATGCCAGCCTGTCTATTTTCATCCATGACAAACAGCCTACAAATAGGAAGAAAGGCTAATTGACATAAACTCCAGTGATGTAAGCAGCAGCAGCACTCCACCAACAGCTGTGGGTGGTCTGCCTCTGCTTGCACGGCTATTTTAAATCCCCTTCCTATTTTATATATACTGTACATACGCTGTGAACTCGCCCTGCACCTGGGGTGCATTGTGGGTCTCAATGATAGACAGTGTTAATAGTATCGCCTTTAATCCCCAGAATTCCATAAATGAGATGTTATTATTGGCTGAGCTATCTACTGCAACAAACAATATAGGACAGTGAAAGAAGTCTGATTACTCTGGAATCAAGAATTGAAAGTAAAGAAAATGAGTATAAAACATATTTCAATAATTTATACCTACATTGGGTCTGATTAAAGATGTAGGAGTTCGGAGCGGGTGGAACGGATGACACATCACACTTTGCAGACAAGTAACGCGGACATAAGACAGACTGACAGGAGCACAGCTTGTACCGTGGCGAGCCTCGCGGCCGCCATGTTTCTGCACACGTATTTATTGTGTGTTCAAGTGAACATTTGAATATTAATTTTAAATGTGCACATTAGTTTTATTCCTGCCAATAACATCTTTTCAAACAGTGGTTCTGAAGATAAAACAACAATAATAATAATACTAATAATAATAGTTCATAGTAGTGAAGTCATTTACTCTTGGCATACTTTTCAAAATGTTGCAGCTGTTAGTGGTTCTAAAAAAATCTGTATTTCTTCTT